CTTTTGAGATTTGACTTGAAGGATCTGAGTCTCCAATTGGTTTAGTATTCCTAGAACCTCGAATTTGCAGTTTGGGAGCTGGTACTTTTGTAGATCTGAAAGTTTAAGGCAGTCAAACCAGCTAGTGGAAGAGGTTGAGATGATGCTGGCGGGTGCGTGTGTTTTCGTGTGTGTGCGTGCGTGTGTGTGTGTGTGTGTTGATTGGTGTGTTTTGTTGCGAGTGTGTGTGGGTGCCCCGGAAAAACAACATAACTTTAATCTGAGGGAGGGGGTTTTAATCGTAGGTCTGCGTTTTCTTAACGGTGCTCTGTGTGGCCCTGGATCTTTGATGTACACCGAATGGATGTACTGACCAATGGATGTCCCTGGTGTATACTCCTGTAGATAACATACCCCGAAGAGCATCTGGTCGCCTGGCAACTGTAAAATACGTTTGCGCGCAGATGGTCGGAAAGCAAAGGAGGCACCTGGTCGTACCCAAAATGTCGCATCTTCTTTGACTGATGCCTTTCGAAAGTGAAGGACAGGATTGTCCAAGGTGAAACTATCGATTCTCTCGTCTTATAGACGGAGAAGTTGATATCGCAATAAGACTAGTCTTGTGATGCCGTTTCGGGCGCGTCGAACTTGGTAGCCTGAGGAGGCATATCTTGCACTTTCAATCTCGCCACTTCTTCTCCTGGTAGCTGCTGTCTGGAGCTGTTCCAGAATAGTCTACCCAGGACAAGGCTCGGCCCCAGTCGGAACCAGCCTTCGTTTGCGACACACGCCTGATGATGGAACGCATGTTGGCTGAAGGGTCCATGGCGCCATCAAGGCGACAAATAAGTGGCAAGGCAAGGGTGTCATTCCACGTCTGTTGGAAAAGCTTGATGGCATGGTAGAGAAGACCATTGTCTGGGCGATAGACCTGTTGATATCTGTTGAGAGGGTTCGCGGAATTGTTTCCGTCTTCCGGTGATTGCATCACACTGGTACTCGGATCCATGACTGAGGCTTGGATGGCTGTGGAACATTCCAATCGTCGCAAAAGGAAGTCCTGCTCCAGCTACGTGACGTTCATCATAGTCCTGATTTGGATAGCTGGATGTCTTGAGTGGTTCGCTCTGGAAATCATTCTTCTTCTTGATGTGGACGGTGATGATTTCCTTGTTCTTCCCATAGGCCTTGATGGGTGTGCGCGGAGGCAAGCGCTGATGATGGCGATCTCGTCGTGAACATGTAGCCTCCTGCGGTTGCCAAGCAATCTGGGGTTGGAACGTTGTATTCAGGATTGCGCTCGTCACGGCTGGTTCCAAAGTAGCACCTGAAAACTCTGAATGATGTTCCCCAATACTTGGCCCTGTCGGAAATGTATCGCGCCAAGGGTTCCACGAACAAAACAAGCGCTTGGCCGAGCTGTCCAAGCCTTCAGGACAGATGTCCTTGTGCCCGTTGTGAATGAACATCTGGAAGAGTTCTTTCATCTTGGTGGATTCCTCGAAGGCTGTGGTGTTGCAGAGGAGCATTTTCGTCAGAGGTTGATTGCGGATCCTTCACTCTCGGGCACTCAATTTCGCAATCTTGGTCAAGGATCCAGGTTCACAGTGATCATGGTTTGAGGACGAGTGGTGATCGGAAGCTTGGTCGGGCATCCTGACTCTGACTCTGAACTCTTCAACAGATGGCCTCAGGGTAATAGAATTCTTCTTCGTCGTGGTTGATGGATGGACCAACATGCGCAAGGGAATCGATTTCGCACCAACGAGCAACTCTCACAACATCAAGATCTCTAGAGAACGGACGGCCATCACGGACAGGAACATCGACCCACCAAACATCATCACCGCATACTCTGCCATCTTTCTCGTTCAGCTCTCTAGAAAGAGTAACGGTTTTGAACACGGCGATGAAGTCTTGGAGATTATGGGCGCCATGGAAGTCCACGTGAATTTTGGTTCTGACGGATCTGTCCCGATCGAACGTAATTGATTCGTCGCCATGATCAGAGTACTCAGGATCAGTCTTGTCTCCTCTTTTCTGTCTCCGTGTTTTTGTGTGGGCTTACTGACATGTTCGAAGATGCGTTGAGCGAACTCGTCAGCCTGGGTGATGTACTGATCCACATCTTCTTATTGGAGACTTCGCTGCAGGAACCAGAACCCTTGCTGAACACGCCTCCTATTCTCAAGAAGGAATTCCAAGACACCAAGGAAAGCTTCCTCGAACTACAGGAGGAATCCAAAATCCTGCGTTAAGGTCAGGAAGAGCATCGCACCCCTTCCTGCTGGAACATGTTGCAATGCGGATGCGGAAGGGTCGTCGTTCAACATGACGTCATTGACGCACGCCGTGCGAACGTGCGGCCAATTATTGGGACCAATTTTTACCCCTGGCTTTAGTCCTTCGGCCAAAATCTTGCACAGCTCGTCGTCGTATGTTGCGCGCGGGGTGCGCCGTGGCTTGAAGAGGCAGACATGGTGAGCCTGCCTATCGTGGCACCGGATGCCACATCTGTGGCAATCAACTGAGCGAGCACGAGTGCTTGCTGTGATAAAAGTCTGCCAGCAATGGGTGAGTTCGAGACCGCCTTGGAACAAGGTTGCAGTGCTCCTGGGAGCTTACCGCATGTGTCGCGACAGACCCTCCTAAGTGATGCGGTCCAAGTGCATCCCGTGGTAGGTGTGCCAGAAAAGCACAGGCTGTCGCACGCAAAGCCCCTGGCTTTACGGAAATCTTTCGGTTAGGAGTCGGCACACAGTCTGGAATGGAGCCACTCTTTGCAATCGTGAGAGCTCTTGCAGGTTTCATACGATGGGCTTCTGGGTGTGCCAGAGATCCTGAGAGATGTAAATCCTGATGCTCTCGTGACATCGAAGATGAACAACCTGTCGCACATGCTGCTCTGCCCAGTGCCAGTTCCGATCAGCCCCAAGCACTGCTGCGTACGGAGCACAGGTTCCAAGCGCTGCAGGTGAAGAACTTTGAAAAGCACCGTTTTTGACTTCATGCCTGCAACTTGGGAGCTTCGTCGAATCCTGAATCGGGTGCCCATGAATGTGCACCCTCGATGAGCCTTCTTTCCCGTATGGATTGCGTTGCACCAACAACAAGTGGATTATGAGCAGACAAGTTGTGTGAAGCTGCTCGCAGACGCCTCGCCTGTTACGCAGATCCACCAGTGAAGGCCAATCTGACTATCCCAGGTCATCCGAGCATGTGCAAAACCTGTGTTTGATTCGCGCGCAGGCGCATGGCCTTTCTTTGCACGTGTCCCGTTCACACGCTTAACCAGAGTGTGGCCCTTGACACCAAATGTGGTAATCTTGAAAAGATCATGCTTGATGTGCAAGTCAACGGCTGAAAGCCGGGGGAATTCAATTACAAAGGTCATCTGTCACCACACCAAATCAAGGCAGCGTTGGGCTGTGAAGGCACCCAGTGTCTTGCTTTGCAGTAGTCATGCAACGATGTAGGCTTTAAGCTTGTCAGCTGCGCTACGCCCCAGCCAGCGCCCAAGGGCAAGGCACGTGCTGCGAAAAGGGAAGAGATTACCCTGTCGTGAGGTATTCTTCAGCCGGCCAGGCTGATCAGCTGCAGGAAAAAGATAGATGCCACGCTTGCTGATCGGTTTGGGTTGATCACTATGAGGATTGAGGATTTAGAGGCCAGACGTTGCCCTGAGGAGAAATCGGACTCGGTCTTCCTCAAAAGCATGCCTTCGCTTCACCTTGATCTTCGGCGTCGTCGATCCATTGGACTGTCCGCCCCGGTTGACATTTTTGACCTCCGTACCTCCGTTTCATCTTCATCTGGAGGATGTGATGTGGTGGACTGATCTTCATTGTAGTCCTCCATGTGGAAGGATCACAAAGGGTGCTCTTCTCTTCGGCAAAGCATTTCTCGTTGCACGTGTCAAGGCCGAAACAAAGGGCGGGAAAGAGCGACGCAATCACAAATTTCGTGAGTTTCTTGCGCGGTGAAGCACAAACTTCGGGAGGCATGATCCACTCGTGAGCATGTTCCCCAATAAGGAAACATATGTTTTGCTACCCCGACTCTTGCGAACGCAACGATGTCGGGGCCATGCGCTGTGTTGCGCGCAAGCCATTCAACCGGAAATGCCTTATTCTGTGACAGTGTACGAAATGGTGGATGAGCGTCAACGTTCAGGAGGTTGCCGGTCAGGACTGCATTGATCAGCTCTTCTGCTTTGGCTGAATGTTTGGTCACTGCTTTGGCTGCACGTTTGGTGAAAGAGTCTGCAAAACAATCTTCGCTTCGTACATGTGCAAGGCCGTGCGTCTGTCCGCTATTGCTTTCCTGCTGCAACATTTGAATCAAAGCGGTTGTAGAAAGACTATTTGCATCGTTTCGGACATGTGCGTCATGCGATGTCTGACCAGGGACTGCGAAGAAAAGTGATCAACCGTAACAACGCGTCAGTCCGTGCAAGCCTGCAACAGGATCCAGGAGGTGATCAACTGCGCCTTCAAAATCGGACAGTTTGGATGATTTCTGATTTGGGAAGACGCTTATGGTAGAAAACATATGTGCATCGGTCTGTTGGCACGAGTTCATAAGATCGAAGTGCCGAATTGCGAGCCAACGAAGTTCCATCTGTGGTGCGTCGTGTAGCCAGCTTGCAGGCTTCTTCATGCGTGCACCGATGTGTGGTGGATATCCCGTCTCACGAGGAATCTGACAAATGACCATGTGAAAAATGTTCCAGCCTTTGTTCGCTGCTGCTTGGATTGCTGAGCGGAAGCCACTGGACGCAGCAGGACTGTCTGTCTGCTGTTTGTCCTTTTGTTTGTAGCGAGCCTTGGTCTTCACGAAGTTGCCGTCTGTGTCTCTTCCAGGCTAAGGGCCCAACGACGGTACCCCAATTCCTGACATTGATTGTTCGTGTGTCGGCTAAACCGATCACTTCGTTATCGAACCAAGGTTGGCACTCTCGAAGCTTAGCTTCACTGAATTGCTGCTGATAAGCTCTTGTCTCGGTAGCTGTCGCTTCTTGCCGCTTCTTCCCGATTAATGCTGATGTCGTGGTTGCAAAACCGGTCTGCGTGCGATGAGAGAATCCGCACCGAGATGTCGGATTGAAGGTGCCTTTCGCTCTCCCGGGAGAACCGGATTTCCTTCAATGTCTCTCAAAACAATGACCGACCCGGCGTTAGCACAAATCTTCTGGTCGGCTGTCATGTAGTAGCAGAAGGTCGGAGAAGCAGTACCCACCACGTACCCAGATTGATCTTTTCCGACAAGATCCAAATGACTGGCGCGTGTGGAACGGTTGCAAGAAGCTGAGAACATCGCACAGCACACGTCCACGCCACCGGCATCAATCTGCCGCTCGCATCACCTCCACACGACGCACGCAACCTGATCAAATGAACGGAATTTGGGTCATCCCTGCGCCCAAATGCAAATGGGAAGATTTTGATCCACGAGGCATGCGATCGTGTTTGATCCATTCACAGAGAATTCTGAGATGCGCCGGCCATCACGTCGATGCCCGTCAAAACAGATCCACCAGACCCTCCGAATGAACCACACGGATATGCAGGATATACCCGATCATCCAATGCCACCACCAGATCCACCCCATGGTGCAACACCAGACAGCCCCATAGATCCAGCGTCGCTTCCTCATGACAAGACAGAGAACCATGAGACACGCTGACCAAGAAGACGGATCTTGAGTGACCAATGGCTGAACATTCTTCTCCGGTTCCGGGGAACCTGACAGTGATTAATGAATGTGTGTCCGCTCTAAGCCCACTCGTTTTGCTTCTGGATGGTGCTCGTTTTGCTGCTTGGCAAACTTCGCACTCACTTTGGATCTCGTCAAGCCGATCATGCGTCGGCTTTGGCAAATGAAGCGCGCCGAGCTTCTAAGTCGAAATTGGTCAGTACTCATGTGTTGATGCTGGCGGCGGAGCTTCTTCAGATCTTCTGGCTGGACAAGCGCTGATGGATTCTGCCTAAGGCAAGCGGGAGCGATGTTGGTTCATCTGCGGATGGCGCAAAAGGATCTGGCTGAATGGTCGACCGGCCCTTCTTGTCGATGATCCTGTCTGCAGCAGATTCTGAACTTCGTCTTTTGGCGAATTGCCGGAGAATGTGGTCTTACTTCCCCTTCCACAGGTTCACCATTGGTTTGTCTGCCGGGGATGTAAGTCTCCACTCATGTTCAAGGATGTTTGGTTCTCCACCTCTGGATGCATCAATCATCTGAGCGGTACGTTCTCGGCGAGTGTTGTCAGGATCATTTGGACATTCCTTCGCTCCTGATGGCGTGGGCGATGCGTTTCGAGGCGTGACGTGAACACGAGTGAGCCGCTTTTTCTTCTTGTCAAGATGCTGCTTCTGAGATCCGATTATCTTCGGAGTTGCTGCGCCCTCTTTCGTCTCGCATGACTTGGGCACGCGCGCAATCTCATATTTTGACGGTTCCGAAAGTGGGAACTTGATGCTGTCATCGTCGTCACAGACTAGACATAGTTGTTGAGGCTCTTAACCCGCAATTTCCCTGTGAACTTCCCACCCCAGCAAGATCGACAACAGCATGTCCGCTTCGCATACTGGAACGTTTTGACGGTCCAGCCGAAAGCCTTACATGTGATCTTGTCACGTTGAGGCGTGTGCTCAATGGTCATGAAAGGTTCTCATCTGACCGTGGGCCTGGCATAGGTTGGATTGTTCTGTGACAAGCCATCAGCTTGATTGCCAAAAGGCTGTGATTTGCGGCGCGCAGAAACTCAGAAGCAGTAAAAGCAAAGCAATCCCGGCCGGTCATAACCGCTGCGTGTCATGACAGCTTCAGGCGATTGAGCCCCCCTGGAACGTAACACGCCTGTCAAGGGCGGAGCAAACAACTGCTGAGTCACGGGTCACACAGCTTGCCAGTGCTCCAACTAGCACGGCTGAGAACAATCAATGAGAGCTAAGATTGGCACCAACACAACCCAGGAAATGTTGTCGCCATCGATGCTTGTGGCTGGAAGAGTGCGCAGTGTACCATTGTAGAAATGCTCCTTGCCACTGCGTGCTCGGTCTGATTCACGGGCAGCCCTCTTGCGCTTGGTGCGCGCGTCCCTGCTTCTCAATATCGCTGTTTTGCTGGCTTTGCCTACTTGGGATTAGGAACAGCTCAATCCCAACGACTGTTCGCGGCTCTGTTACACAAGCAGCAAAAATCACTCCTAAAAGCGTTTGATTGCTGAGGGCGATTCATCATTGCTTCTGGTTGAGAGTTTCTGTCGCTGCTCCCGCCACGGCTGCTGTGGCTGTGGGAGTAGGGGCTGTTGCCGCGGTTGCTACGGCCGCAATACGATGTCTGTTGTTGTGGCTGTCGCCGCCATTGCTGCGGTTGTTGCGTGTGCTTGCTGCTCTTGCTGCGGCTGCTCGGGCGCCAATTTCACCCCAAGCCTGTGATAGCTGCACGGCCACCATCTGCCGATTTTTTGCACTCAAGGAGTGGGCAGCTTCTGGTGGACTCAGCTTTTGACGCTTGGAACGGGGGCCCGCAGTCTTGCTGGCACCCTTCTGCCATGTTGCGCCAACGTTTTGCTGCACTCCTACACACCCCAATAGCAGAATTACACAACCCATTGCAACAAGTATTTGCTTCCTGCAACCAGACAACCACCACCTCACAACCACGCACAATTGGCTCAAAAGGTCGTAAATCCCAATGCCAGGATGCCAACTTCCTCAGCAAGCTGCAAGGAAATATAGCACGCAAACTTTCTTGCGGCTGTGACTCTCGTGCTACTGAATTTGCTTCTCCCAAGGCATGATGTCTGGGAGCCCCTGATGGCACCATTGGCTAACGCCCCCCTCAGGGCACCATTTTTGACATACTGAGGAGCCCACAGCTCCGAACGCCCCAGGGTCTGGACCGCTAATGGACGGCGCAACCGGGAAGCTGGACTGGAGCGTGCACCATGTGTGTGTGTGTGTGTTTCAACTGAGTTTCTATGTGTGTTCTGTCACGTTCTCTACCAAAGTTTCAATTCTCAATGTGTTCTATTTGTTTTCGATATCCTTTCATCTTCTTTGCTTTACTTCTGGAATTGCAACAAGACTACAAAAAAGCAACACGGGGGGGTGGTACCCCTGTCCTGGCAGTCTGTTGCAATTTGCGCTGGCCCTACCCCCCCAAACAAAATGCAACCGGTTCAACAGGTAATTGCGTTGCAACTTGCCCCCCCAATTTCAATTAGTTAGGGGGGGGTGATACTGTCCTTCTCAACTTCCCCTACACGGGTTTCTCCATGTCCTTGTCTTTGATACCCTGACACCCATATTCAACATGGCCTGGCTCTTCGCAAGCCTTCGGCACTCCTAAAACGGGGCAATTGGAACTCAGCTGTCTCTCCCAAGCAGCATTGCAAGGCTCCAGCTGCAACAAAGTTGCCAATCTCAGCCATGCGAAGACTGCCAAATAGATGGGGGCACTCTCGGCCTGACATCTGAGACTTTCGCAACGACTGTGCGAACACACGCAGTGGGTAGTTCGCACGCGTGTGTCTGTGATCCAAAAAATGGGGATGGTGGTTGCCTCGCCCGACATACCACAAGCTGCCCCGAAGCGCAGCCCACGCCTCGGCCTGAGAATTAGCAGCTGCATGTCCTCCAAGACTGGCTGACCTAAGGCTGGACTTGTCGCACTGCGTGCCAAGGCTTTCCGTGAACATGAAGCCATAAATGCCGCCACCCTGCCAACTAAAGACAGGTCCTCCGAGCTGGTGAGCAAAATGCAAAGCGCGCGGCGCCACAAGCAAACCCTGTCAAACACACATGACCGAGGGAAACGCAGGTAAGTGTCATGCGCCGCGCACGCGTGGACAATCAAAACAGAACACTCCAAATCCACTTCGAGCACCGACACCTGCTCAATCATCTCGACACACCCACACCCGCCCGCCCCCCGCCTTCTTGCATGCACGCACGCAAACACATGCCACGCGTGCCTTTCTGCCACGCACCTTCTCACGCTCCACTGTGAGGTCTGGCACTAGAAAGCATTTGGCACGACCACGTTGCAATCACAGTGTGACCAACCACATGCCCTGCGCTCACAACCACAATCGAAGAACTGCTTGAAGTTTTCTTAGCGAGAGACAAGGGTAATTACAAATTACACTGTTAACGGTGGACAGCCGGCCCTGTCGCGTGCCAGCAGTGTCAATTTCATCTGTCAAATTAGCTCCCGTCCAAGAGCTGACATGGTGCGGTGGCAGCAAGTTCGACAAACTTTTTTTGAGACAAGGGCAAGGGAGTGAAACTGCCCGACCAGCTTGGCTGGGCTCATTGCACCATCAAGGAGGCCGCACCTCACCAGGACCAGTGTGGGCAATGATGATGATATTGTATAGCAACCAGTTGAATAAGCCGCTCCAAAAGTTGAACATCAGAGAACACGCAGCTTCTAAGACTCTCCTGCTCTCCCCTCTCCTCTCCTTCCCGCCGTCCCTCCCTCGCTCTCTTGCTTCTGCTTCTTAACTCCCCTTCCCTCCCTCTTGGCAACCGTAAACTCCGGGTTGCCGAAACAAACCTGCAACCCCTGGGTCGTCAATTCTAAAGGCATTCAAGCCACTCCGCAGATTACTGCCGCGGCAAAGGCCCGGACTCCTGAAACCCAAAAATTGGCCGTGGAAACGTTCAATTCTGCGGGCTTCAGCTGGACAGTTTTGATGGGTACGCTTCCAGGTTTTCAATCGCAAACATTGGTAAGCGAAGTCGGAGGCTCACGCTTGAGGGATTGAGTGCTGGATTTGCTTCCCCGTGTCCTTCCCTTCCAAACTTACAATCACGCAGTTGCCTACCAAGACCTTGATGGTGCTGCTTGATTGCGCGGCGGGTTTGGCCCAGGTTCAGCATAGTATGAGCGATGCCCATGGTTGCTGTTTGGCACCCTCTCAGTTTGTTTGTTGATGTTTGGTTCGGGCTTATCCCTTCTGTTCACTTTCCAATGTTCTATGCTTGCTGCGCATTCTAGCTCAAAGATCCACAGGCTACGGTCAACTGCCAGGCGGCCACTCTCAGATTAAAAGAGGCTGGCGTCCCACATGCCTGGTACAAGGACCCCGTATGTGTTCAGTTGGACACCGATGCAGTGGCTTGACTTTCTGTCAGTGTTCTTTGCTGCGCGCATGTTCTTACATTCGTTTTTATCTGGACCTCTTCTATAGCACGTCGATACTTCTGCCTTGCCCTCATTTCGTTGCCTCTTGCGGCCAGGCGTGGTCATGCTCTCCTTCCCCATTCAAAGTCTGGTGGTGAATGGTGCGAAACACCAGAAATCTGAAACTTGTGCTGGAGTGGCCGCGAACAACTTGACACCGATCATTTGTCGGCAGCCCCTTCGCTTGCACCCTCGAGGTTCGGGTCCTCGTGACCTTCACAGAATCGTACTGGCGAGTAAACTCCTCGTAGTGCCTTGAGAGGCCCTTGATTTTGTGCATGACAAACCCTTGAGTCTGCTCGAGGCGCAGGCCTTGGGTTCCGCTTCTCCGCCTCACCTGGCACACGTGGAAACACATGGCAACGATGGACCTCACCAAAACACACCTCAAGCGACCTGCCTGGGTTTTGTAGCCAGGTTCAAACAATATTGAGCTGTGTTGGTATGAAGAAGTTACTTACGCTGATTTCTGCCCTTTCCAGCGGCTTGTTTCTTCTGGCAAGTCTCAACTGCAGTATTGCGGGAAGGAATGACGCAAGGAAGGAAGGCAGGCAGGCAGGCAGGCAGGAAGGGGGAAGCTTTGCGCTGCGCGCAGCACCACAAGGAGAACAAAGAAGAACACATCGCAAACAGCGCTCGCGAGACCTCCAACCTTGAAGCGCCTTGCGCGAAGAAAATGTGCCTCCATTATTGTGGAAGCAACTCTTGCACTCGCAATGAAGACCAAAGCATGACTGCAAACAAGAACCTAAAACAAGCAGGTTGTTCAAAATGGGGCACGTGGATCCCCAATTCTGCCGCCCGCAAGGCAACAGTAACCTGTCACGCTGAGGCTTTTTATCAGTAACCTGTCACACTGAGGCTTTGTGGCAGATCGAAAATTGGGCCCTGCATCTCTCCCCAATTGGCACGAACCTTCTTCATAAGGAACTATTGCCAGCCCCGTGCATAACACAAACCAAACGCGCCATTAGGCGACTAACTGCTTTCAGGGATTTTTTTTTGGTGAGCCCCCTGTCGGTTGCCCTACTTTTGCGATTGTTTACAACATCAATGGAACACCGACGCTGAAACCAGCAACAACAACAGCACCACCAACCCCAACACCGCCACTACCACCAAAAACAACGACGAGGGCGCCAGCACCAACAACAACAGCAACAACAGCAGCAAGAGCAGCAACAGCGCCAGCAACAGGAACAGCAACAACAACAACCACGACGACGGAAACAACAACAACAACACCGACGACGACAACGACGACAACAACAACAATATCATCAACAACAACAACAACAACAACAACAACAACAACAACAACAACAACAACAACAACAACAACAACAACAACAACAACACAACAAACAACAACAACAACAACAACAACAACAACAACAACAACAACAACAACAACAACAACAACAACAACAACAACAACAACAACAACAACAACAACAACAACAACAAGCTTCAAGCAACAAGCAACACACGACACGCAACACGCAACACACAAACAAACAAAAACAAAGAACAACCAACCAAGAACAAAGAACAAAGAACAAAGAACCAACAACCAACAACCAACAACCACCAACCGCCAACCGCCAACCGCCAACCACCAACCACCAACCACCAACCCACAACCACAAGAACAAGAACAAGAACAAGAACAAGAACAACAACAACAACAACAACAAATAGAGGCAAGAGGACGACGAGTCCAGCTGACTGGTTCCACTCCGTGCGAGGGGGGGGTGTAAAGAGGGTCTCGCATTAGACTGCTTGTCTCCTCCATCCCTGAGAATTGCCTGGCAAAGACGTGTTTGAATCGGCGCGACCAGGGTTGATCGGCACACACTCAGATTTTCGAGCGCTCCTTTGCTTCCACAGTGGCAAAAGCGCCCCCCTTTTGACGATCCGGGCGAAGAAGCATGCGCTGCCGATTGAAGCACCAAGGGAAAGGCTAGCTTAGACATATCAGCAACGTCAACGTCGTACAGCTGAAGGGGCATGAGGCTAACATCAACAGTTTTGGCTGGGCCCCTTTTACAAACTTGCATTTCAGTCTCCTGGCATGGCACTGAATCTGCTGCGTCTCCGCCAAGTTTCGGACTCGGGCGCAAAACTTTTCGGCGGCCTTCGGCAAGGCAGCTGAGCGAACGTCTGCAGTGTTTCAAGCGGCATGAAGCGCAACTAAGCGGCGATCAACTCCCTGAGTGGCCAGGTCGACCGACTTCCAGATAGGATTGCAAGTTGCACAAGCCGCGCAACCGCAGTGGGACGACAACATTGTCAGTGCGCCTGTAACTTTTCACGCAACACAACAAACATGTAGGAACTGCCGCAGGAGGATTCCGTGAAAACGGAAGGCGAGAACATCTGCCGTTTGTGAAGGAAGTGGGTGAGCTCCTCGGTAAACTTGCCACTTGCTTCCAAGTCGCCATTACCAGCGACCAGGTGCGAAGACTGAGAGACTCGTGTTGGCATCCATCACCCAAACCGGCATGAAGTTGGCGCGGACCTCTGGGCCTACCCTGCCAACTGTTTGCCAGAACGAAACATAGTCACCGACGTCGGCTCCCTGATGCGGACAATGAGCACACACAAGAAGCATGCAAAGGCACATCTTGCATACGGCTTGCCGAGGTTGATCCACAGCTCCTTCCCACCATTGCCTTTGTCTTTGCTAGAGGCAGAAATGGACGTGAGCCAGTTATCAACCCCCAGCACACCAGAGTGTCTCTCTCGGGTTGCAGCCCGACAATCCACCTGCGTCTGGCTGAGGGCCCAGGTTGACCAGGCAGCACGTGTCGTTCAACATTTTCCCAACAAGTGATACATACAAGAAAACGCAACACTTGTCAATAAGCTTGGCATTGCTGAAAGAAAACCTCCTGAGTCGAGGTCGCTTCTGGCTTCTGCAAAGCCGAGAGATGAGCTTGACCCTCATGCAGCAAAGGACGCTCCGGCCTTCGCAACAACATCATGCGCACAAGCCCAGCCCATGCAACATCTTGCTGGTGGGCAAAACAGTGGTCGAGTGCCCAGTTCTTCATCCGTGCAGCAGATGCAAGAGCATCGGCCATCTTGTTGATAGGACGCCGTCTGACTCAAACGGGCAAGGTGCGAATGTTACCCATGGCGGAATCTACTGTGAGCTTTGAGCCAAAGGCAAAAGTGAAGGTTTTGTCGCCTGAAATCACTAGTTGCAATGCCCGCAGCACAGCAACCAGCGTGGTCTGCGCTTCTGCGTCGCAGGCTGTGGCAGGTGCGTTGTGGGCAGCGGAAGGCACCCTCCAAAAGTACGCCGGCCGTGCAGCACAAGCACACAACCCGCGACCGCCGCTGAAGTCAGAGCAAGAAGAAACGTCTGAGTGAAAGAAGGAATCAATGATATCAGCAAGATCCTCAATGTCCACAAACTGATCTAAGAGCCTTCAAGGTGGCAGGGTGGTGTTGAATGTCTGGCGGACAAATCGAACAAGACAAGCAACCCCTCCGTGGCATAAGGCTTCGGTCTGGTGGCGTGCGCAATGCTGCGCTGCGCCTGAGTGAAAAGGCGCACACAAAGCACTGGGCTCGCCAACCGCTTCACGACGATCAGCCTTGCGTTGCGTCGCTGGAATGGAGAATTTAGCGCGCGCGCGCCGCAGGGATTCGTTGAGCAAAGTGCACCACATGGCAATTTTGCCGATTTGACGCAAGTGCACGCAGGATGGCAACCTGCAAGACCCATTGCCAAGGCTACCCGTCGATGCGCATGCATCATCCCCACCAGAGAGAGAGAGAGAGAGAGAGAGAGAGAGAGAGAGAGAGAGAGAGAGAGAGAGAGAGAGAGAGAGAGAGAGAGAGAGAGGGAGAGACCGAGCGGCGGCCTCCTTGGCAGCTTGCCCCTCAGCATCCTCCTCCTCCTCGTCCCACCAGCTCACTGATTTTGTTCCTTTTGCTGCGGCTTCTGTCACGTGCGTTGGGGGCCTTCGGGAAATCCAGCTTCGGCTGCTTGGTGGGTGTCTAGCACGGCGGCTGGCGCAGCAAAACTAAGCGTCGCAATCAGGGCTGGGCGTCGCAGGCGAGCTGTGCTCAGGCACATCACCGATGAAGTCATCAGGCGCTGGTGGGGCCAGGAAACATGATCACTTGCAGACTGCTTAGAGTTCCACGGCGGTTGGCTTGTCGCTTGCGCGTGGCTCAGCATTGCCAAGGCAAGGCGCTCCTCACACTTGGCGTGTTCCAGCGCCTCGCTGCGCTCAATCTCAGTCATGGCTTTCTCAGCCCAACTGTCATGCAACTGTTGGACGTCTTGCTCAGCTATGGCACGGCTCTTTGGGGGCCTGTCAATGGTTCTTCGCCACCGACAAGCTCTTGGTGCACCGCGTTGCCAACTATCAGCACGGGTCTTGTCCCAACTGCTAACTGTGACTGGGCTACCAGGCCCTTGTCAGGTGTATACACATGCGCCGCGGCACGTTCTTCCACCGTGTCACATGTTGCTCTTTGCTTTGCCCCTTTTTGTTGGGCAATGCGCCGTCCTGGTCTTCTGTTTCTCTTATTGCCACGCTGCGTCACTGCAGACCAGCGCGCTCTGCAGCAACCACATTGTTTGTTCCAGATCACATTGTGGCTGCCGTGTGCGCCAAACCATTGGCTTATGGCTGCTGTCAGAGAGCACGAGTGAATCTGTTGCTGTCCCTTGCAGCTGGGTTTGCTATGATGCCTTTCCAAGACCCGAATTGCAGAGCAGACTCTATGACCCAGTGCGATCCAACCAAGCCGCGCAGCACGTGTCAGGAATCGCAGCTTCTGGCGGTTTGTAGCAGGGCAAGGGCGGCGCGCCCTCTGAGGTTCTGGAACTCAACCTGAAGCTGAAACCTTCATTACACACATTACATGCACTACATGCATTGCATACATTGCTTACACTAAGCTACATTACATTAGTTGCATTAAGTTACATACATACATACATACATACATACATACATACATACTTACATACATACATGCACACATACATACATACAGACATACAGGCATACGCACACATACATACACACATACAAACATACAAACATACATGCAGACATACAGACATACACACACATACATACATACGTACATACATGCATAGATACACACACATGCGTGCGCACAATGGTAGGTTTTTCCTCTCGTGAAAGATCTCTTCGTCAAGGTTCTCAACGTCCCGGTGGCTTTTTCCACGTCGTTAAAGTTCTCTGCCCCTCGCAGTTTTCAACCGTCGCTTGTTCCATGTCTGTGAAAGTCTCTGTCCGTTGCGACTCTCAACGGTCCCTTGTTCCGTGTCTTTGCAAGTCTCTG